GCTTATGTCCTACGTGCAATATTCGTTAAGATGTTCTGGAAATCTTACTCGTCTTCCAGAACGCGTTGTTTTAGGTTTTTCTATCAACGTTGACGAAGTATCAAGTTGTGTGTCGGTTGTCGTGTAGGGTACTACGAGTGTAGTAGCTGTGTCGTTTGCTTGTACCGAAGGAAAATCGACGTAGCTAGGGTTTCCTTCTAGGTACGCAGCTTTGAGTCGATCGATACTGATGCTATCTTTCGTACCGTTCTTATCAACTACATAGTACTTAGGTTCGCGTTGAAGAACTTTGAAGGGTCCTTCGTATGCTGATTCGAGGGGTCGTCGATGTGAGTCTCGACGAACGAAGACGTGTGTACTATGTCGTAGTTCGGGTTGAACGAAAACATCAGTTGATTGAGGTCGAGTGTGAGCAGGTTTAACTGAACGCATGGCGTTTGTAAGCCTACTCGTGTAAGAGTTTAGATCCATGTTCAATGAAGAAGCTGAAGGATCCACGAATTCTCCTGGGAGTCGGAGTGTCGTTCCGTAAACGAGTTGAGATGCCGTGTATCCAATGTCAGCTTTCACTGCATTGCGGATACCTAGCAAGACGAGTGGAAGAGCGTCTGTCCACTGTGAAACGTTTGAAGCTGATAATGAAGCTTTTAATTGTCGATGAAAACGTTCTACCAACCCGTTTGCTTGTGGGTGGTAGGCGGTCGTTCGGAAGCGCGTGATTCCTAAAAGTGTGGTCAGACAACGGAAAAGTCCAGATTCGAACTGGCGTCCGCGGTCTGTAGTGATGGTTGAAGGGCAGCCGAAATTTGCTACCCATCGTTCGACGAAAGTGCGAGCCACTGTTTCAGCAGTAATGTCCTTAATCGGTACTGCTTCTGGCCATCGAGTAAAACGGTCTACGCATGTTAGGAGATATGAGTATCCGTTCGAGTCGGGTAAGGGTCCTACCAAATCTAGATGGACGTGGTCGAATCGAGCGTCAGGGGTTTTGAAAGAACCTAAGGGACATTTGTTGTGTCTGATTACCTTAGATTTCTGACAGCTTACACAGGAGCGTGACCACTCCCTCACGTTTTTATTCATGCCAGGCCAACAAAAGCGTTCGGCTATAAGTTCGATTGTTGCACGAGCACCTGGATGAGAAAGATTGTGCAACGTATTGAAGACGTTGCGGCGATAGTGTTTTGGTACAATCGGACGATCCCTACCTGTAGATGTGTCACAGAGTAAGGTTTCCTTACCTGTTCCCATCTGCCTAATACTTAGTTTAAGAGTTGTCGAGGATAACTCATGCTGAAGATCAATGTCTTCTTTTTGAAGCTGAGCGAGTTTAAGAAGGTCGATTCCTTGGGAACTGTTCAAGGAGCTAATTCGAGACAAGGCGTCTGCGACTACATTGTTTGCTCCAGAAATATGTTGTATGTCTGAAGTAAACTGCGAAATGTAGTCGAGTTGTCGAGACTCTCTTGGTGAGTACTTGTCTGAAGATGAATTTAAAGAGAAGGTAAGAGGTTTGTGATCGGTAAAAAGCGTGAATTCTCTTCCTTCGATGGAATGTTGAAAATGCCGTACAGCACAATACATAGCTAGGAGTTCCCTACTGAACGTGCTGTACCTAGATTCAGCGTCTAGCAACCGTCTCGAGAAAAATCCTAAAGGTTGCCACGAGTTGTTAACCCATTGTTGTAAGACTGCTCCGATTGCTGAGTCGGATGCGTCTACGGCGATACTAATGGGCGCTTGACTGTCCTGATGAGCAAGCAAGGTTGCTTTAGCGATGTGTTCCTTAACTGTGGAAAATGCTTTACGGGCTGTGTCGTCTAAACTAATTGATTTCGCATTTCCACGAAGCTGATCGGTCAACGGTTTCATTAGGGATGCGCATTTAGGTATGAACCGTCTATAGAAACTTACGAGTCCGTTAAAAGTTCGCAACTGCTTGATCGTGGTCGGTTCTGGGTAATCCAGAATGGCCGCCACTTTGCTCCTAAGGGGTCGGATGCCTTGGGCATCAATGGTGTGTCCTAAGAAGTCTAAGCAGTTAGTTCCGATTTGGCATTTCTGAATGTTGACAGTAATGCCATGCCTTTGAAGTCGATCGAAAACAATGTCCAGATGCTTGAGATGCGATTCTCTGTCCGGACTTGCTATTAGACAGTCATCAACATACGCATGTACGAAGTTGAGACCTCGGAAGACGTCGTCTATAAACCTTTGGAAGGTTTGAGCCGCGTTTCTTAAACCAAAAGGCATTCGTAGAAATTCGTAAAGACCGAAGGGAGTGATGATGGCGGTTTTAGGAATGTCGTCAGGTGCCATCGGGATTTGGTTATAAGCTTTAACCAAGTCGATTTTCGAAAAGACAGTTGTACCCTTCAAGGTAGCTGTCAAATCGTGAATATGAGGCAGCGGGTAACGATCGGGAATGGTTTTAGCATTCAGACGCCGATAATCACCAGTTGGCCGCCAATCATTGCTGTCCTTTTTAGGGACCATGTGCAATGGGGATGCCCATGGACTATTCGATGGTCGAATTATTCCTAGGTCCATCATGTGGTTGAATTCGTTTTTAGCTAACCTAAGTTTTTCGGGAGCGAGTCTTCGGGCTTTCGAAAATACAGGTGGTCCTGTAGTCGAGATGTGATGTGTAACATTGCTGGTTACACAAGGTAATTTCGATTGCGATTGGTATATCCCGGGGTATTTGTCGAGTACTGCTTGGTACAAGGGGTCTATGGCGTGCTTAATCGTGACTGGGGATAACCTGCAACCAGAACAAGGAGTTACGCAAACGGACAACTTAGTGTTTCCGTCTATTAACCTTCGTGCGCGTGTGTCGATGAGTAGATTGTGGTGTTGTAACAGGTCAATACCAATGATTGGCATAGAGACATCTGCAACCACGAAAATCCAGTGTATGGGTTTACGTAAACCCACGTTAAGGTAGACGTACCTTTTACCGTAAGTAGCGATCGGTTTTCCGTTTGCCGCCTGTAAACTTAAAACAGACTCGCGAAGTCTGTCGTCGAGATTTGCTGGAAGAACGCTAACTTCTGCGCCAGTGTCGACGAGGTAGCGAACTTTCGTAGTCACATCCGTGACATATAAGAGGCGGCTGTGTTCGCCGGCTACGGTTGCCGTTAACGCGTGCCGGCTGGGAAGTTTCCCGAACTGTTTTTCGTGTCACTCGATTTTGGGGTCGGATAATTACAAGGTTTCCTGCAATTTCTGGAAAACTTACCGTACTGGTTATGATACCAGCACCAGTCGGGATTGTCTGTCTCTCGTGGTCGAGAGCCAGATGGCTTACGTGAGGCACTTCTACGCGGGGTTTTTGACCGACTACGGTCATTGCGAACTCTAAGATATCGTGTAAGCGTGTGACATAGTTCGGCCATGTCAGTCGAGGTCGATTGGGGTTTTTCTTTGACGGAAAATACCTCGGCCTTAGAAGATCTAGTGATTTCCAAGATTCGATCGGCAGATGCAGCTAGTTCATCTATGGCATTGTTTTGAAATGAAACAAGCACTACCTGCACCTGTTGAGGGAGTTTAGACAAGAAAAGTTGTCTAAATAGGCCATCATCGAAAGTTCGTTGGCCGATGACTTCTCTCATTCTAAGCAACATGTCCGTCGCAGAACCATGTTGCAAGTCGATATTGTTAAGGAGTTGGTCTAACCGTTGTCGATCAGTTAGGTCTCCTCGTTTTAAAATCGATAGCTTAAGCGATTCGTAAGGTTCGGAAACATCACTAGTAAACATACTAGGTGTTACGTACCTGTTAAACTCGCGCGGTAACGCCTTAACTAATGAAACGTAGGCTAATGAAACGTAGGAGCTGTGTCCCACGCAGTATTGAAACGTGATCTGGTGCGGATGCATGACCGAAAGCCTTCAGCTAAACAAGTCCACTTAAACAACGTGGTCAGCATCCAATGTCGAACACTTAATGAGCTATTGATTTTGGGGAATTATTTACAGCTACAGTTTACTAACGACAAACTCGTTGGGTTTAAATTTCCGACTGGCCACGTCATGGGGTCATCACTACTTCACTATGGCGGGGAGTAATCTGTGGCTGTAAATAAATTCCCAAAATCAATAGCTCTGTAAGTGTTCGACATTAGATGCTGACCACATTAGCTTTAATGGACTCATTCAGCTGAAGGCGCTCGGTCATGCATCCGCACCATATCACGAGCGGGAACGCCGTGCTCAACATCTACGATCATTAGCCAGATTAGATCAGTCACTTTTCGATATATTAATAATCTATTAAATATATCTTTCAACCTCCTTGCTTCTGACTTTTGATTTTACTGGGTGGGCGCGTTTCAATTACAGAAGAGGTTGCTCGTGAAGTGTTGTCAAACTACAATACCTGTGGTATCTTCAAGGTTGTTAATGTCTTAATACGAAAAGTCTATGGACGAAAATTTTGCTTACAAAGATGCATGTAACAGGGGAACTATGACATCATGAGTAATGAAGTTTACAGTCTTACATTTGCATGATACTTCACTAATGGTTATCCACAAATACTCATAGCTAACTGCTAAACACATGAATATACCTTTATCACTGGGAAGGAACGGTCCCTTAAAAAGATTGACGGTGACAACGTGAGTAAAGAGTTTAATTTCACTGCTTTTGTCTACCTCTGTAATAAGTCAAGGTTTCGCTTTGAGTGTAGACTTCACAGTTGATAATCTGAAGGACATCGCTTTTATAGCTGGAATGGCTCAGCAAAATGTTGCATAGTGTTTGAAAGAATATAATCAAATAGTTAGAAGCAAAGACAATTGTTGCGAATTCAAGAACTTAGAAACTGAAACATTATTTTTGTCTAGTGCAGTGGAGGACACTGGTCAGTGGCCTATGCCCCTCCACATAGGGTGACAGAAGTAGTAGATACAATTGATTTCTCATGCTGAATACGTAAAGATTTTCGTCTCAATGGTAAATTTATCAAGTAATGTCGGTAAGATCTAAGGACACGGAATAGCTGAGGAGGTCAGGTTCAATTGACAAACATGGAAAATACATTATAATAACTGCGGCGCCTCATATGTCTTGAGCGCCGAATCTAAGTTTCGGGTGTTCAAGGACTGCGTGCTTGACTGTCTGGTTTGTTAATGAGTGTTAGTGATTCTAGGTAACCATGCAAATCTTTAGTGGATAGTATTGTACACATTTTGGGATTCTTTATTTCCGTTTGCCTCCATTGTGTTTGAACTTCAATAACTATACATATGATCTCATTGTATAAAAGCATAATGTAGGTGAAAACATTATCAAATAGGTTTTCTTCGGTAATAGGCAGTAACATCTACACGGTTTCGGCAATAAATCAGGTATTTCTGAGTTAAGCCAGTGGGTTCATTCTATGAATAGACTTGTTTACCAAGTTTTAAATATCATTTTTATTAGGTAACGTTTTTGGTTTCTTAGTTTACCGTAATACCCTGTTCTAATTTCTCATATTACTACTAAAGATGGGTTCGTGTATTGTGTTCTTAACCGCACTATAGGATTAGTAGTGCCACTTGGATACCTGGTTCGAGTTAGCTGGAACGTTGTCACATATTTTCCCGTGAGCTGAGCTTTTAAAACTAGAATAAAACCATATTTTTTATGCACGTTTAGCTGACGGCGTTTTTTAAGTCTTCAACTGACTAAATTTTGTCACAATTAGGTTCTGTCAAACTACTTGCATCTCCTAGTGTTATGCTATGAGCAGTACATTTCTACTTGACGTTGTCAGTGGACAAGACTTCGTGTTAGGGTGTAGGGTATAACCTTTTGAGGCGGCTTGTTATAAAGTTCTTGTCCTATTTCATTTTACTGTTGAATTAAGGGTAGCTTACAAAATCACCTGTTCTAAAAGATTGGTCAACCCATTACATCGACTTCGATTTATGTATCCAGGTAATAAATGGAGTAGTAGCTGAAACTTTTGTCTTTCACTTGCGAAGTCTAGCTTGATTTGATCATTAACTTGCTTTCTAACAATTTTAGCTACTTTCAACATTTTCTTCAGACTAGTTTCTTTGGGTTTAACAAGTCAACCACCACCATTCGTTGATATTCTATTTTTAAATTCCTTCACTGTTCACTTGTAACTGTGAACAAACAGATTTGTATAAAGCTTGTGAATTGGGTTATATGGATCTTAGTAGGTTGGCTTGTTTTCTTAAATGAAGAGCTCAGATCCCTAATAAATGCCAATTTTGGAGGCTAACATCCAACCCTCGTTACGTTGACACAGAAAAATTCTACCTTTAAATTCCAATAATAGAGAAATTATTTACACCATAACAACTAACTTTATGATGAATGCAATAACTATTGTAAACCTATGTTTTGTATTCATATCAACCCTACCAACCATTGTGCTTTATGCAACCTGCAATTTTTTTCATTTTAGGCATTATATAAAGTATTTCACCATGAGGAAGATTTTGCAGCTTCTCCCCTTTCAGCGAAATCGATTTGTTAATAAGGTTGCAAACTATTCAGTACGTGGACAAGATTCAGATTTTATTCGGCTTCATGGTATCGATGTGGTCCGGGATCCGAGAACAAATCGAGTAAGTGTTCCTTGTATATATTGAATTCTTCGTCTAAAACTTTTTAGCAGTACTAGGAAAAAATACACTATTAATGACTTTCTTTTAGGGAACTGCATTCACCCTTAATGAGCGACAATTACTCGGTATACATGGGCTACTTCCACCTTCTGTATTAACTCTGGATCAACAGGTCTCAAAAATGATGGCCAATCTAAAGAATATGAACGATAATTTGCAGCGCTACGTTTATCTTACTTCATTACAAGACCGGAACGAGGCTTTGTTTTATAAGGTAAGTCTAAGTTCCCATTTCTTGAATTACCTTAATTTATTGTCCAGTAAATTTGTTTTGTGGTATATTCAAGAAAAAGGTCTGCTCTTATAATGGGTAGGTACGTCTGATGACTTGCCAATCTGGGTTCCGACATATCACATCCAAGAATAACTTACATTAACTCACTCAGTCAACTACAACGTAGGACCAGGTACATATATGCATCGGTCCAAGTTGCCATACCTCATTAGCACAACAGGATGAATACCAAATTCATAAAAGTAGTTACCTCAATAGTAGTAATATATGAAAAATCATGTATACGAATATAATACAAGAAAGAATTAGCTCGTAGAAATATATAAAGCAACTTTAATCTCACGGTTTAAGAGTAGACAATGTGTATACACCTACGCCATTGTGATCAGTTCTGAGCTATGTCACCTAGAGTCTCCAACCATTGGTTGCGATAATCACGCGGATCCCAACCAAGTAGTCTACATCTACTAACATGGCTCAGAATAAAAGTTAGTGACTTCAAGCACTGATGCCACGTTTTGGTTTGGCCACCCCTAACTCTCTTCCAACCATCCCCAACACTAGCCAACATAGCGCGTCGTGGTAATCGGTGTTCAGGCATACGTAACACGTGGCCTAACCATCTCAGTCGATGAAGATTCATCACCTCATCAACTGATTTATCATCATTCCCTAATACCCTGTGTCTAACTTCACTATTACTTACCCGGTGATCCCAGCAGATGCGAGCAATATTTCTAAGACATCTGTGATCAAATACTAGTAACTTGCGAGTATCTTTTACTCTTTATGGCCATGTTTCACAGCCGTAAAGTAGAACAGAGCGAACTGTTGCGCAGTATACTTGTCCCTTAATTGATAGACGGATATTTCGTCTTCGCCATAGGTGGCGTAAGTTGGCAAGAGCCAAACAAGAGCGTTATTTCCAGAAGTAGGTCTCTGATGAAGTTGAACAAAAATGGAGATAGTAGACACCTTAATCAGACACCACACGAGGTTGCGAAGTCACATGACAGTTCATCATAAGCTCTCACTCGACTGGTAGTGTTCGAGTAAAGAGTCTTCACAAGGTTTATGTACTTCTGAGGTACACCTTTCAATGACAGACATTACCACAGAACCTCTCGGTCTACCGAGTCAAATGCTGCTTTCAAGTCAAGAAGAGCTATCATTGTGGGATGCCGATAAACATGTCTGTGCTCTAAGACCGACGAATAGTGAATATGTGGTCGATACAGCCACGACCTGGTCTGAAGACAGCCTGATTTTCTCGTGTTTGCAGTTCACAAGTCTTAGTTAGGCGCCTGATAATTATTGAGGCAAGTATTTTAGATGCTATGTTAGTCAGAGTAATCCCTTTATGGTTATCACAGGATGATTTTCGCCCCTTCTTATATATTGGGACAATAAGTGATTGCGACTAGTCGGATGGGATTACGTCCAACTCTCAGCTAAAATATTAGTCAACCTAATCACAAAAACTGGACCACCATACTTAAAGACTTCTAGAGTCAGTCCATCTGAACCAGCTGCTCTTCCTCTTTTCAGACTAAGTATAACATTTTGAACTTCAGCTAGAGTTGGAGGACCTACTTCAATGTTCCATTCAGGGGGTTTGGGAATGGTGGGTAGAGTACCTGAAGGCAGCTAAACTGCTCCTTAAGGTGTTCCGCCCATTTTTCTAAACGTCTGGGCTGAGAACAGATAAGTGTCGTCTCTTTCTGGGATTATTTCGCCTACACTTCTTAATTCCTGTTTCCTTACTTAGTCTGAAGAGTTGTCTGGTATTGCCTACAGCCGCTGCCTTTCCCATTTCTTTTGCTTTCGTTGCCCACCACTGCTCACGATCGTTCCTTAGGCTTTTGGTTAACCTAGATCTGATTTATTTTTATCGTGTTGAGAGCCTGATGGAATGAATTTACAAGAATCCATCAGTGCAATAGACTTAGTAGAAATCCATTGGTTTTTCGTAACCTTTTGGTTTAAATCACTAATAGATGTCGCTGCTGTTTCCACAGCTATTTATATATCTTTCCAAGCAATATCTGGGTCAGTCTCGTTTTCAGAACTACCTAAATGTAAACTCGGTTGTTCCTGGAACTTACTTTTGACTTTCTCATCATTCAGTTCAATTCTAATGGGTCTTCTTAGCGTGGTTTTTCTGCGTCCAGCGAGGCGCAAACAAATGCGTGCTCGTATTAAAGCGTGATCAGAGTCTAAAAATGTATTCCAGTACGAGCGACAATCTTCTATCGAGCCTCTCCAGCGATGACTAATGACAATATTTGAGTCCATCATTGGTTTGGTGTAGGTGGTCGTCATATTAGACGATGTCTCTGGTTATGCTTAAAGTTAGTGTTTGCTAAAAATAAACGATTGTCTGGGCATAGTCACAACAAATGATCACCGTTATCTGTTCGCTTAGCCGGAATACTAAAATATCCACCTAAATGTCTTTCTGTCTGGTCTAAGCTACCCACTTGGACATTAAAGTCACCTGCAACGAGTACTATGTCTAGGCACATAACTTTTTAAAAAAGTATAGAGAGCTTTCTAGGAAATTCGTCCTTTACTTGATCTGGGCCTTTGTCAGTGGGGACGTAGGCAAAAACGACGAATAGGCAACGACGTGTGTCCCTATCCTTCCGAGTTAATACGAAGCCGTTTAGCCAAATAGCACGTAGGCGACTGTTAACGGGGGTCCATTCTAATAGTACTTGTTCTGCCAGTTACGTTGACTGAATCCGAGGAAAGTGGATTCATACTAATAGCTCAACGTGTAACTATTATTACTCCAATTAATAATCTTAAACCATTTACCTTTCTTATAATTTCGTCAGTTTTATTTTCAGAAAATAACTTCGTTCCTCGTTCAGATGTCTCTAATTAGGCTCAATATTTGCTTTGAATACCAGATCCTAATGGTAGTTGTTTAGTAGCATGTGACGGCTTTATATCTTCATTAATCTTGTTTTCTGACAACAATAAATAGCAGCATAGCCTCATTATTCAATCTGCATGTCTAGGCAGCATTATTGATAAGCTCATATCCGCCCTTTCTAAAATACCTTTTGTTACCAGTCCAAGTGTGATTTATGAAGTGTATCAGTATCATTTGCATCCAATATGTTCTATCCCATTGTTTACTGAGAACCGATAGTCCAGTCTTTGACATGTATCTTTAGCAATCCGAGATACCATTTTCCGACCGAATCAGCAGTGAATTGTGGGCACAGAGCTAAATGATTAATTACTAAGGAAACATACCACTGTGATCTTGTGTACTATATGTGCCACTGCATTTTTCTATCTCTGGCTACAAATTTAATATGTTTTTTCCGATTACTGTTCCTGATTCAGCTTGTTATTGAGCATGTGGAATATTGTATGCCGTTGATATATACACCAACTGTTGGTTTGGCTTGTCAACGCTACGGCGTAGTATTTCGACGACCTCGGTAAGAACTCTAATTGAATTCGTGTCTTTTCACATATTAGCAGTTAACTCAGTTTTTTGAATCACTTCCTATCCAACTTGATTTAGCCCTGATGCGGTGTTCATATCCATTCACAATCCTAACGTAGCCAAAGTATAATTTATGATTTCATGAAGGGCAGTTCTAAATGTAGGAAAACTAATTAGCATGAAAGTTTATAGTAATTTCAACCTGAAGGAGAAAAACTTACCAAGTTGTACAAGAGTATAAGAGGAGTTATTTAATTCTCATGAATAACAAAAATTTCTGTTGATACTCTTTAGTTCAAAAGAGGAAATAAAAATTTAGCTTATAAAAAATGGCACATATTTCTGTTTCTCTGTGAATAGTTAACTTTTATGCTTTCAGTGAAATCATATTTAGCTGGTGCCTTTTCAGATAGTCGTAGTTTTAAGTGTTCAGTTTTTCAGTACTAGATACCGTTTCTTTACACGTTAATCCTAAGTAAGCAAATCAAAATCATCTATCTTTTGTAGTTATAGTAAATAGGTTGGGATTACATTTATCGTGATATATTCTACGAGTTGTTTGTACATCGATTCGTTACTACTTTTGTCAACTAAAAATCTTATTAAGATAGAAGGCAGTATGTTAACGTCTTAGTAGACTGGTATACGTGTTCGTATTTTGACTCTGATTCATACTAAGTGCTCAAATTATTTAGTTCATTTTTAGAAGCATTCTTATAAACGTTCATTTATTTTATCTACTTTAATAGGTTGAGATAGTAATTCAGTCATAGTTGTCGCGTGAGACGATTGCAATTTTTGATCTCTTGAAGCCAATGTATACTATAAAGATAATTTTGTTGTGAATTCCTCTGGGCTCTCAACACCCAGTAACCTTTTTAATTTTTGGTGTTGAATTTGCAGTACAGTACCTTATCTAATGGAAAAATTAGAATTCAGGTCTTATTTTTCCTCAGCGAATGACGATTTTCGATTGTTTGTAGTTTTAAATCATGGTGTAGTTCGTGGGGTGTTTTCAAACTTGTTTATACGTTATTCAAAATTATGCTTTACAATGTGCCTAACTACTGTATCTTTTGTCAAATTCCCCTTCATTGATCAGTTACCTTCTTATTCCCCGTTAGAGGTCTATATATAACAGTACACGATCGACATCATATATCCGAGATTCTAAATAACTGGCCTGAACCGATCGTAAAGGTAAGGCATTTACGTATTCTTTGGTAAATTTTACTTATTTACGTTACATTTTGTGACATTTCAAACAATATTCAGGAAGATTTGTCCATACTATCTAATCCCATCTAAGTCACAATTGGTTAATAAAATTAAACGCTTTTGCTCTTTATAGTTCTGATGAGACAGTCTGTTTGAAAACAGGTATTGAAAACTTAAGTTGACAGACGAACAATGAGTTTCAGCTTGGCGGTTCAGTAATCACTTGTTCATTGTAAAATTTTAAAGTCTTAAGTGATAGACCTCTCCAGTATGTTCAGGCTTCCAGTATCTATCCAATTTATTGCTCTTTGTAACGTAAAATAATAAAGTTCAAGATCACAAATTTGCACATGCGGTTATTTAAATAGCAGAATAAGTAGTTTTTTAACATATCTATATAATCCACCCACGGTACCTTGAAATTCGGCTTAACGCGAATGGTGACAGGGTGATCATTTATATATTTTTTGTCAATATTCGACCAAAAGATGAAATTAAAACCCATGCCCAAAAAGCACTTGATCAAATAGTGGATGATGTCCTTCAGTTTTGCCGAATTGATTGCGCTAATGTCACCTCACTATTTTAATAAAGGCCTTCAACAAAGTATGTGACAAACATTACAATATAAATCTTTTACCAGTTACATTCAAAATATCGGCTCCCGACATTACATAGAATTCACTGACAATTAACCTAGTAGGTTTCTTTCATTCGATGTTGAACCGACCACGTTTCCCTCTCTACCAGATCTTTGATCACTGTCACAAGTATTCCAAACCATACATTGTTATTTATCTCGTTCCCAGTCCTCTCTTTGATTTTCTTGATAACAATATTCTCTGAAGCTGTTTACTAGAGACCATATATCTACCTCACTTCAATGTTTCAGCCAGTATAAGATGCATTAAACTGGCTTACCTAGTCTCACTGTTTCTCCTCAACTCGGTCACCCATTAAATTCTGAATACACTTAAAACTATATTGAAGATAAGAATAGAAACCTGTTTCATGGAATGTGAAAAAAATGTTCCATTTCAAATCAACAAAAACACTATAAGGTGAACCTTATCACATGAGGACAGGCGTTCATGTCCTTATTTTATGCTCTGCATTAGTAAATTTTATGAGATTTTTACAAAAGTGATAGAAATTTGCTTCCACCCACCTTTTATAGTTAATAATTTTGAAGGATTGCGAGTTACAAGCATTTAAATAGTTTTACAATACGAAGTCAATCTTCATATGTCTAAAGCATAAGAATGTATTTTTAGCTGGGTTACTCATTAGTCTGACTGGAAAGTTTGGGGAAAGCTCTGGCAAAACTAGTTTATTTTACGGTTGTAAGGTCTAATGTTTACGTACTAATAAGCCTCAATTGTTATATCCTGTGGCTGAGCGTATGTGCAGTTAATGTATGACGTGATAAAACCGCCAATCAGAGAGCAGCGGATTATCGATTGAAACAGTGACATACGAAAACCGTACGAGCAGTCTTGAGTGCTTATCGGTCCTGCTATTTGCCTAGCCCAGCCAGTTAAGTTCAGAACACCAACAACAGCCTCTGCAGTATGAATCATTGTATTTCAAACATACTAAGCTTATATACCAAACAAACTGACCACATCGTACCAATAAAATAGAAAATAACATTTGTACAAGATTTAGCCAAATGTGACTGAATGTGGGAGGCAGTAATTAATAGACTAGGGATAACTCGAATGGTAAATCGTATGATAATAGTCTATAGGTCAAAATAAAGCTTGTAATAAGGGTAACATGGATATGAATAGTTTAGTTATTTAGCAATTATACGATAAAAAATATACGCATAATTTTGGTCCATAAATGGATCCCAAAGTTACCATTCACTATTGTTATCGGGATATAATATTAATTTCAGCTAGTATTACTCGCACTTGTCGACATCAGGTAAGTCTATCCTAATGAAATACTAACTTCAATAGATTGGATATCTTTTATCTGCGAATTATTAGTGATTTCTGTACTGAGCACTATTCTAAAAGCTGTCACTGCTAAAATATTCAGTTATTTATCCATTTTTTGTTCAAAGTTCGTCAAAAATCCTCTATTTAAGGCTTGTAATGAACAGAATCCAATTTTAGAGCTTCCTTATGAATTTCTTTCATGTTTATAGTATAGTAGATATCTGTGGTCTCGTACGTTTAAAGTTCCAGTTACCTTATAATAGTTAGTATAATCGATACTAATTGGTATTATGTTCACTGAGATTAACTTGTTTACTGAAATCCACTTTTCCAAGGCTATCGTATTTACTGATGGTGAACGTATTCTTGGTTTGGGTGATTTGGGTGCATATGGTATGGGAATACCCATTGGAAAACTGTCGTTATATACAGCACTGGCTGGTGTTCATCCGAAGCACTGTTTACCAATCCTTTTAGATGTTGGGACAGATAATCAAGAACTATTGAATGTAAGTTTAGATTGTTAATTGGGAAAACTAGCTTTATTGTTCGTCAGCTGATAAACTGAAAACTCGAAAATGATTTTTTCTTTCAAATTAGTCTTACTTCAACTGGCAGAGTAGAATAAAAATTACGACTAAAAAGATACGTGACATGTGAATTTCTTACACGGATTAATTTTGAATCGCAAAGTGTTTAAATAACGAATTGAGGTATCTACATATATGATGTTTTCTCATATAGGTATTTAGTTACAATAGTCCAGATTTAGGGAAGAATAAGCACTTATAGTCGAATAACCGCTCTTCTAATATTAACCAGTAATATAATTGTTACTATGTGCTAAACATGTGACATATATTGAGATGGTGGAGAAGATTTGTAGCTCAGGTGGGTGATTTTTATGTTGGTTTGTTCTCTGAGCTGGATGGTTTGGTCGTGGAGCTTTCATCGTCCTTCTGAACGACCTCATCAGCACAAACTTCGGGTAGAAGTGAAGTGTTTGAATTTCTCCACATGTGATTCACAGCTTGTCCTCTGCACCTCGATGTTGATTGGTTCTTATTGACCTTAAATCTGTCATTGTTTATTTCTTTGTTTTGATTGTCTCTCCTATTGTTTTGATTTTTGTTCCTATGTTCCTGCATAATTTTCTTGATTGGTTGATAGATTGGATTGATTTCAATATGTTTGTTTATTGCAGATTGACCTGAGTGCCAAGCTTCTAAAAATTCTCTGGTATTTTTGGAATTGCCTCTGCCCAAAATCTGCACATTTTCCCAGTCGAATGTATGTCCGTAGTTGTCCACGTGTATTGATATGAGTGAAGAAATGTCGTGGCGTTTGACTGCTAATTGGTGTTCATGTAGGCGAAGATGCAGGGGGCGTTCGCTTTGTCCAATATAGTGTTTGTTGCAGTTGGTACAATTTATCTTGTAGATGATGTTTGTTTTGTCTTCTTTTGCCATTTCATCTTTTGGTTTGCATAAGATTGAGTGGAGGGACTTTGTTGGTTTGTGGGCTACACCTATTCCGAAGGTTTTCAGCAGCCTTGTTGTCGTTTCCGATATGCCCTTTATGTATGGTAGGGTGATCACCCTAAAAGACAAAACAAACATCATCTACAAGATAAATTGTACCAACTGCAACAAACACTATATTGGACAAAGCGGACGCCCCCTGCATCTTCGCCTACATGAACACCAATTAGCAGTCAAACGCCACGACATTTCTTCACTCATATCAATACACGTGGACAACTACGGACATACATTCGACTGGGAAAATGTGCAGATTTTGGACAGAGGCAATTCCAAAAATACCAGAGAATTTTTAGAAGCTTGGCACTCAGGTCAATCTGCAATAAACAAACATATTGAAATCAATCCAATCTATCAACCAATCAAGAAAATTATGCAGGAACATAGGAACAAAAATCAAAACAATAGGAGAGACAATCAAAACAAAGAAATAAACAATGACAGATTTAAGGTCAATAAGAACCAATCAACATCGAGGTGCAGAGGACAAGCTGTGAATCACATGTGGAGAAATTCAAACACTTCACTTCTACCCGAAGTTTGTGCTGATGAGGTCGTTCAGAAGGACGATGAAAGCTCCACGACCAAACCATCCAGCTCAGAGAACAAACCAACATAAAATGTGACATATATGCCTTCATCTTGAGAAAAATATGTGAATGGTTTTCAATCAGTGGATTGTTAGGCAGGAAAGTCGTCTCTTATCCTTGCATATAGTTAGTGTGCTTATGAATGACACTTCAAAATGTAATAGTCACTGATCCATTTTCAGTTAACTGTTGCAAAATAATCTTTATATGTAATAAAATTGTTAGGTTGTTGGAGTCAGTTAACGGGAAACTCAACCTACCTTTCGTACTAGTTCCCCAAATGCCTTGATACGACCGAGGGTGGGGAGAGTCCGCTCTCCTCGAAATGCTCTCACATGGCCACGCATATACAGCCTCTGCCAGGAAAGTCCTACTCACTGCCTTCTCGTGGCGGGATGTTGTTTACGAAATTGAGAGAACGAAAAGCGAATTTCCGGCGCTTTAACCGGGTCGGTGGACAAGGCGAGTCCACCTAGGGGAGTTGGAAAACCCTGATTCCAAACCAATGGTGCACATGGGCTCCAGTATCCTGAAGGGACAAATGGCGTACAAATCATTCGTTGATCACCGGCTACCATGGGACTGCATCTCCTCACGATGCTCCACTGCCTTGTGGACTAGACCTTCAGGTCAAAGGCTCCGGGTGTGGCTCCCTAAGAAAACCACCTGTTTTGGTCTGGGCACCCGGGCAATATCGTAGCCCTCACACAATTACGTGAAATGGCAATTTTTTGTGTGAAGCACATATATATATATATATCAGGTGCCCCTTGCACCAATACGTATGTGTTCAAATAGTATAATAATAATCTTATGAAGTTCGAGCCCCATCACTGTTGAAGAACTTACTACCAGGCTATTTTATGGGACTGACTCGTTAACATGAGTTGGTTGCTATGTTGCTTGAATTCTATCGATCAATTTATAATGTGGTAATCGGGTTATATGACTCGACATTATGAATCATTTTATTGATTGTTAGTTGGTTAAATGACCACGTCTTTTCGTCGTTCACTTTCAATCATCTAACATCCAACAAAGCTCATCGTGATACTAAGAACTTCAGTCTAATGACTGCATTCCAATATGACCAACTGTATTCAATCGGTATCAAGAAATAGATAACGCTACTTAGGATACTGCTAATTAATAAGTTCATGAAAACCGTATCATTTTTTCATAACCCATATACAATTATTACTGGTGGTTGTATATATATATATATATATATATATGTCAATCTCGTGAATATCTTATGGTCTCATAATGTATTAGGTTACTATTCTTTATTTAGCTGTTTAATGAAATTATTAATTTTCATAAAATCGTTTTTTACCGTGTTTATTGTTATTCATCTCTGTGCTATTAGTTGGTCAAATTCAATAGTTTTACGGTAATAACGGTCAAATACTATTTTGTTTTTGGCAAAATAGATTAATATGGTGAATAAGTTATAAAATCAACTGTGCATTATTTATAAATAAATAGTGTATTTGTAATATCCCAATGAGTAGAAAAATTAGATTTTCTGACGTTTCGTGACTCAGTGTAAGCCACTTCTTCAGAGAATAAATAACCAAATTAACATTAATCCAAGTTTAAATAGTACAACGGAACAATCAAAGAATATTAGGTGATCAATCAAAAACAGGTTTGAATAAATCAATGTCACGTCATTTCATTTCGGTTAAAGTGATTCATAAGGGATATGTACGTAATTTTGTGTGTATGTATGCATTGTTAATGACGAAAAATGTGTGACCTTTATAATGAAAAAGGATAGAGTTTAATTTTCCGATGAAGATTATCAGAAGCTTATTAAAACAAGACAATTCAGCACGTAATAATAACAATAATTCAAATGAAATGCCGTGAATTGGTACTGCAGTTTTACCTTACCGTCATTGCACAACTGAAGAACTCCAAAGGATCTTAAGACAACACAGAATTAAAGTATATTACAAAACAACGAACACACTTCGAAATACTTTAGTTCGGTTAAAAGAAAAAATCTCTTTCATGTCTACACAGAACTGCGTCTACAAATTAGGTTGTGTCGACTGTGATGCCTTCTATATTGGAGAGCCATCTCGCGAAATCTTGACTCGCGCCAAAGAACATATTAGGTACACAAAGAAACCTAATAATCCTGTAGAATTAGATAGACTTCAAATTACATCGGCGATAGCAGTTCACGCCATTTTCAACAATCATCAAATTGACTTCAAAAATATCAAAATATTACAAAAAGGTTTTTCTAACTACAAAGAAAGAAGAGTAGCTGAAGCTTTCCATATAATACTTAATCCCACTGCCCTCAATAGAAAAGGCCTTAACATACATCCTACCTGGACCATCTATCCTAGTCACTTAGTCTGATATTATTTACAATTTCACACCATTACATTACAAATTAAACTTTGTCATTATAAAGGTCACACATTTTTCGTCATTAACAATGCATACATACACACAAAATTACGTACATATCCCTTATGAATCACTTTAACCGAAATGAAATGACGTGACATTGATTTATTCAAACCTGTTTTTGATTGATCACCTAATATTCTTTGATTGTTCCGTTGTACTATTTAAACTTGGATTAATGTTAATTTGGTTATTTATTCTCTGAAGAAGTGGCTTACACTGAGTCACGAAACGTCAGAAAACCTAATTTTTCTACTCATTGGGATATTACAAATACACTATTTATTTATAACAATCTACCCAATGCTCAATTTATTCAAAATTATCAAATCAAAACTTGGTAATGATACCTATGTGCATTATTTATATTTTTTCCAATATATGCTAATTAATTTTAGAGTCCATTGTCAATCAGATAAATTGTAGGGAAAACGTTGTCTGTCATCCTTTATCATTAATACTGAACAAAATGTATTCAGCCATCATATCAATAAATGAATGAGATAACGTTTTTGTTACCTGGATTGATTGTGGAGATAAATCGATTTGGAAGTACTTTTCACCACGTGATAGCATCAGTTGAAAAACTATTGTAAATTAAAGAATATTGGTCAGTTACTCTGATTTATTTTCTGTATTCCTCAGCAGTATTCACTCATGACCTGTAAGACGAATGGAACCCAAAACAGTCAATTTTCGCGAACGCATAATCGTTAAGTCACTCAGTCATTATCCAGTTGTCCGCTGTTATTATGAAGAATATTCGGATTTCAAAAAACATTGTGATATGTCGTGTGTAAGAGGCATATTAACATTTGATTTTCGTTAAACCCTTTATTCTCCAATACTGTTCTACATGTCTTGATTAATAAATCTGTCTTATGTCAAGTAACAATACCACTAAGTTGATAAAATTACATAATCTACCTACTATCATCACTAAAATCCATTTGCATTACTGTTGTTAGTTACATATCACCTGCCCCTCAAATGCCCTGGTACGACCGAGAGTGGGGAGAGTCCGCTCTCCCTCCCCAAATGCTCTCACATGACCAGCGAATATATAGCCTCTGCCATGGAAGTCCTACTCACTGCCTTCTCGTGGCGGGATGTTGTTTACGAAATTGAGATGACGAAAAGAGAATGTCCGGCACTTTAACCGGTTTGGTGGACAAGGCGAGTCCACCTAGGGGAGTTGGAAAACCCTGATTCCAAACCAATGGTGCACATGGGCTCCAGTATCCTGAAGGGACAAATGGCGTACAAATCATTCGTTGATCACCGGCTACCATGGGACTGCATCTCCTCACGATGCTCCACTGCCTTGTGGACTAGACCTTCAGGTCAAAGGCTCCGGGTGTGGCTCCCTAAGAAAACCACCTGTTTTGGTCTGGGCACCTGGGCAGTATTCCAGCCCTCACACAAATCGAAAGAGATTTGTGAGGCGCATATGTATCTGGTGCTTCCTTGTACCAATATTTATGTGTTTAAATAAAATAATAATAAAAACATATCACCTTCAATTTCTTTTTCTTCTGTAGGATCCTGTATATACGGGTATCAGACATAAGCGTATACGCGATGAACGCTATGATGAGTTAATCGAGAATTTCATGCAAGCTGTTGCAGAACGGTAAGGTTCATAAAAAATATTGTAACAATATCATATCCCTTGAGGTTTTACAGTTTTTTTTAGTTTATTTATGAATATATTTTATATTAAATGCACTGCCTGAATAATTGCTTACTATTTCATGTATTGTCAGCTACGGGAACCATTGTTTAGTTCAATTTGAAGATTTTGGAAATCATAATGCATTTCGTTTACTTGAACGATATCAAGATTCGTACTGCACTTTTAATGATGATATACAAGGTAAGTTAGTAAATTTTCTTTGAAAAAACCAAGATTTTTAGTAAGAAATCTTGTCTGCGCACCGCCTAAAAATCATTGTGCAAATTTATATATCAATGTCAGTGCCCTGGTGCGGCCGAGGATGGGAAGAGTCTGCTCTTCCTCTCCAAATGCTCTCACCCGACCGTTGCTGCTACCTTGACGTAGTGGTTGTGCTTGCCTATCGTGATGAACCAATCGAGCTATCCTGGCTGGAACAATCGTTCCTCAAGGTCGTACCATGCCAGACAGGTCGATTTAAGAGTGGTACGAATAAAAGCAGCAACTCAACGTCTGAGGGCAAAGTCGTACTGCTGACTGTAGAGAGGTGTGACAGCACTTAGGTGTTTCCTTCAGACAACCAGCGTAACAGCGATGCTGCCTTCCCACAAGGAGGGGTGGATTAGAAAAGGTCGACCCTAAAAATGCACACCGCCTTATTCCATGGAAATGCGTCTCCGGCAGTAAAATCCAAACAAGTACAAAGCTAACACAAAAATTACCCACGAAAACGTTGTGTGTAACCTACCTCAAGCAGTTGTCCCTTGGACACTGCGGTCACACTCTCAGGTCACTGAGACCACTTCTAATCCAACTTCCTCTTCAGGTACCTCTAGAAGAACCTTTCCACGATGTGGACAGCCGGGAAGTGATAACTACCCTCATACCTCTAATAGCACTCAAGGTCACTGTATTCATAATCAATCTCCTTCTTCAATTCCTATTATTCCTCCTATCTCGACTTTCCACACACTTAACTTCCTCTTTCGGCTTCCTCCTCAAGTGTCATCATGACCAACGATTCTAGTGAGCGAAACACTGTCCCAGATCTATTGAAACCTCGCTCCAAACAGCACATTAAAGCCATCAACGTACGTACCCTATGTCAAGTCGGTCAACAAGCCTCCTTGGCTAAAACCCTAGAATCTCGTTCTATTGGTGTATGCTGTGTCTCTCTGTGTGTAGACACAAAAAGTCCACCTAGGGGAGTTGGAAAACTCGATTCCAAACCAATGGTACACATGGACTCCATGATCCTGAGGGAACAAATGGCGTATGAACCTACTGTTAGTCATCGGGTACTATGCGACTGCATCGTCTCACGTTGCTCCACTGCCTTGTGGATTAGACCTTTTGGTCACCCACCTGTTTCGGTTAGGTCACCAGGGCAGTATTCCAGCCCACACACAAACGACTTGTGTGGCGCATATCTATTTGATAATTTCTTGTGCCAATGTTTTTGTTTAAATAAGTCAAAGTGAATAAAGCTCCTTGCGGCTGAAACTAGATAGGAGCTGGTTTATAATTTGTTTATGTTTTCTAGTGGTTATATTGTATTGGCATATTTTGTATGTTTAAATAAATTACACTAGTGTAATTATTGTGAGCTTTAAAAACCATATTCGTTACTATAAACCCCGGTTTTTCGGTATTTTTCATAACCTCGTTGCTTACTTTTAGCATCTATTGAGTGTTCCTTCTTTTTATCTAAATATCCAATTTAAAAATGTAATTCCGATTAATTTTTTGTTTAATTACTCGATTGTAAGCATTTCTATTTACTGACATCACAAAACCACTGGGATTAACATTTTCAACAAACTTCCTGTATATTGGTGTAAAATGGTGTTCTAATTATACTCACGAAATATATTAATTCTTCAAGTATCTCAGTGATATGCGAATAACAGTCATCAAAATATGCTTAAATTTTGTATATTTTTCATGTTTAGGTACGGCAGCCGTAACGGTAGCTGGCTTACTGGCTGCTGGTCGTATTACAAAGCGTAAGCTTACAGATAATATATATCTTTTCGTCGGTGCTGGTGAAGTAAGTATGAATCTTTTTTTATCTTATGTGTTGAGTGAGCACAATAGTATATCAACCACCATCTTAAAATTTCGGCATTTGGTTGCCAAGATAGATTATTTGTTCTATAAGTATTATTTCTCAGTATAAACCGTTATTACGTAATCTCTTTTCCGCATCTCTCTTTCAATATTGGCTTGTGTTTTTCCTCATATCGAGTGTTTAGACAAAATGGTAGAAAAGTTGTCAGACCATCATCTTTTAAGCACTAAGTATCTCACCATCAGCATACATCAATTAGTATTTCAATGAATTTTCCACTTTTAATTTTAGATCACGGACTTAGTTCATTTAAACGACTAAAGACAGCCAATAAAACTACCGATTTGATTCTCGGTTTTCAGTCATTGTCTAAATAAAGTCAGTTCGTGATGTGAAGCTACAAAATTCAACAATCTTTATAATGTCCTGTCCAAATAGGGATTTTTATTATCCTTACAAACTGACATCCTGTCAAAATTAGCCTAATGATACAATAATAAAACAGCTTGGGTTTTTCTATAAATTGAATTTGAAGTCTTTTAGGTATTCATAGCATGGTAAACCCGTATATTATATTGTTCTTAAAAATATTGACTTTATAAATACATTAAAGTTCAGCTTATGTACATGGCAATGATACTAACTAATAAAACATACGATATATCATATCCTGTTAAAATTAAATATGACTTTGCAAATGAATGCAAATATCTATTTTAGTATTAATGAACGACTTTTTAATTGTGGTAATTTTATTGTCAGGTTTTATCAGTTTTAAACTCACCAATTGTGGCAGTATTTTCACTCGAATACTAAAACTTTCGAAAAACATATGTCTATAGACTACAGCTTAATTTCCTAGTTTATACACTTGCTAAATGGATAATCAAAATACTGAAATATTCATAAAGATAGATTGTCGCAAGATTCACACTGTGGAAATTGTAACAAATAAATGATCCGTTACATGAATCTTTAAGTATACCAGGGTTCCGTCCGTTTATTCTGCTGTGTTGACTTGATAGTTAATGCAGGTGATCTTCAACCACTGAACTATAAGTTCGATCCTTGTCCCACCTAATTCTGATCAGGCAACAAGTTTCCTGTTAACAGTAGTAGGATATGGTGTTGTTTGTGAGACACACGATGTAGGAGTTTATGATTTCAGAAGAATTTGTCAATCTTGTTCGAGTGAAATATGCAAACAAACAAGTTTGTAGTCTATGCTATTTCATTATCCATCTAATGTTCTCTTTTCCATTATCTTCTAGTTAATGGAACATAAATTGTTATATTGCTTAGTGTTTTCTCTATCTACAACTCAGTAAAATTGTGCATATATTTCTATTACCTCATGTAAAGATTCAAAAACAAAAAACATATGAGCCAACAATTGTTTCCAATAAATTAGTCATCAGGTTCTATAGTTACAAATCCATAATTATTGTATTAAAATGAGCAAAATAAGGCGTACATAAATATCATATAACATTGTCTAGCCCATTTCTTTATGTATGTTTTAATTTGTTCATTGTAATATATTAATTGCGAATTCATAACTATAGAGCCTGATGACTAATTTATTAGAAACAATTGTTAGCTTAAATTTTCCTGTGAATATGTTTCACAAAATATATTATAGGTAATTCATCTATTTTAGATAATTTTACTGCAAGATGTAATTTCTCGATTGATTTCGGTTACAAAACAGACCCGTTACCGTTGTTTAAACAGTTGTTTCATGTAAAATAATCAATTGTATACCTCTCAATTTATCTATTTTCTTATAAAATAGGCAGCAACCGGTATTGCTCAATTACTAGCAACATCATTACAACTAAATGGATTGGATGAGAAAGAGGCCTTGAGTAAAATCTATATGTTCGATAAAGACGGACTATTAACACATGTAAATCTCATTGTTTCTGTTATTGCTACTGTTGTTAAAGGTTTCGCCCTTTTTCATTTTTGGTTATTTTGTCATATTGGTCTTTTCAAGTCCACATTACTTTTAGTTGTTCATCACTTCAACTTCTTTATTCGTTAGCTCATATAGTGACTGTTTTTGGGGGTAGGCGAAGGTTATAAGGTTCACAGAAACATCTATAACAAGAACTCGTTTACTAAGTTACATTGCCATCATGGCTTTCTTATCATAATCTGCAAATATTTTCCAGTAACCATAATAGAGATTATTTCATGTTAGGATATCATCTTAAAAAATCCGAACAATAATTTGTCTTTGCGTGATAATGATTTTTCAATTATCACCACTGTTTAAGCACTAATGAGATTACAGGCTTTGTTCTAGGCCAGAAAGAAATTGCTACTGAACTTCTTGAGTCACCCTCTGATATCCTGTTTATTTCATTTAAGACTTGTGTCAATCATCACACTAAAAGAGAAACAACTCTTTCAGTTCCTCCTAATTAGTGCTATATTAATTAAGTAAATCACTGTGTTCACGTCTATTATTTTTCAGATAAAGAGTACGTGTCTGACCCCGTAATTGTTCACTTTGCTCATTACTGTCATATAGTGTACAAAATCTACTTTTTTCATTGTGTAATCTTACACTTCTCACGTACGATTCCCGTAGTTTGTATTGAACAGCTTACTAAAACTTAAAGCTCTTATATATTTATCAACAGAAATTTTTCTTTTATGGTCGTTTTGAATGGTGAATATATTCCTCACTATAATTACTTATATGCTAACTCGAGTTAACCCATATTTGTGGCAGGCTGTACGTTTATTACGACTGACCAACTGATTTTTATTTTAGTTGTCATCTCTACGTAATATTTATACTCATTCATTAGTTTTTATTAAAAACACTAAGTTCCTATAACGTATAGTCAGAAAATAAGTTTTTTGTGACTTGGATTTAAAACTCACTAGTCAGTTACCACATCTGAAAGGATAGAAAAAAGGCGCTTATATATTCCCTACAAATAAAAAATCTTAACAGTTTTTGGACCTCATAGATAATAACTTTTTTATTGCTTTGACTTTCATAATATCCAGTCGCGTCAAGAAGGTTCACTGACAGATCATAATAAAGTGTTTGCTCGTGACGACATAGAAAATATACGTAAACTGGAAGATGCAGTGGAAAAACTAAAGCCAACAGTTGTTATTGGTATGTTATTTCTGCTGATTTATTGTCTTCAATAGATTTCTTAGATTCCTAGGTATATGTCAACTAAAGCTATTTGAATATTTTAATCGGATTCTCCTGAGTACCTTACAGACACCTATTTGTGTATGTGTAGGACACAGTTGTGATTTTCGATCTCCAAACTACTACTCGGGACTCTGTTACATCGACCTTGAAATTCAATGTATAGCCCACTATATCACTTACACATTATTTGATCACAAAGTAATTATTGTTGACTTTGGATTCGTTCAATCGATAAAGCAAACAAACTGGCGGAATGATAAAACTTAACACACGTTTTCTGAATATTGTCATTCCTAACCCTGTATATAAATCCACCACTGTATGTGCCATGACTATTAGGCCGCTGGTTCATACGTTTATTTTTTGTATTTGTAACGTACTGTTTACATTTAAATTAATAAACACTACATTAACCATAAGGTAAACTATATGCTGAAATGTAAACAGACAGTAATATAAAACCCACATAAACATAGTTTTGTATACTAAGTTGTATACTGTTTTTTAACACACTTTCTTATAGGCAACAGACTGTGCAGAATATCAACATCACACATGTAAAATGCTTGTATGGATTTTTCAACGTATGCTTAATACACGTTATCATGATATAAATGGGCCTCAAAAGTTTCTTGCCATTGGTATATTTATTTAACAAGACGTGCTTGATAGTCATTATATAATGGTTTTCATAGCCTAATAAAAAGTGTTAAGTATAGAGGTTGAAACGGTTGTCATTTGTTTTCGTTTAATAGAATCATTATTGGGAATTGTTTACCTGTGTTTGATTCTTCATGCGAATTATAGGGAATATATACTGGATCAATTAAAATATTTTTTGCGACATTAGAAGAATCTAGGTAACATTACTAAGGTTTGACTTGATAATTTTGAATAAATAAGGCATCAGGTATGTTGTTAGTTGTGAAAATAATGACATTTCTAATACTTAAATGAGTATAAAATAAAATTCCTGATTTTCCGTGACTCACTGTAAGCCACTTTAGAGAATTTATTAATTTATTAATTATCCCGAGTCTAAATAATACGAAGTAAAAAAGCAAAAGTATTTAGTACAATTAATTAAAACAGAACGAACCAGGCCAATGTCATGTCACTCCAGTCAGGGTAATTTGCGTATAAAATGTTTGTGTATTTGTGTGTATGTTAATGAAGATTACTTATTAAGATCTCGTTTCTTCGATATCTTGGTAAGGTATTCTTTTCAATCTGTAGGTACTTGTTCTTCCTCGAGAATCCTCCTGAAGAGAATGTGGGACAACTTTGCAGTCTTCTTGATATCTAACTTCAGTCTGTATGTGTTGCTTCGATGTTTTGTGGGTTCGGTGGGACTGGTCTATTGAAGGGCCTCTGAAAGTGTTCTACCCACCTGCTCCTTTGCTTTTGAACCACAGTGATTGGTTTTCCTTCTTTGTTCCTAACTAGTTTCTGTGTTGTACCATGTTACCCTACAATCTTCTTGTTTTTATCATACAGTTCTTTCATACATCCACCTCTTAAATTTTTCTGCTGTAGTCACCAGGTCTTCGACACATTTCCGCTTGTTTGCTTCTGTACATTCAGTTTGTACCTTAGCTTCCCTTACTTTTGTTCGGCTGTTGTTGACTGTTGTTTTCTCATTTTATTTTCCTTGAATCTTTCCCATGATGTCCATGGAGATTTATTCCTTACTCTAGTAATTCTTGCAGTCCAGCACCTGGAATGTTGGGGTTATTGGTTCTTTAATCCCTCTCCAGTTGTTTTCCATGGTGGTTCCCTCTTCTTTCAGTAGATCTTGTAAGGTTTGGAATTTTTGTAGTGTTGCCCACTCAATTGTCCAATGCTTAATTAACCCAGTTTCATCTTGACCATGAGCAGGTGGTGATCTGAAGATATGTCAGCTCTTGTCTTTGTTTGAACGTCCTCCATTAACCTTCTGAATGTTTTGGTGATGCAAATGTGGTCGATGTAATCCTGTGTAGTGTGATCCGGTGAAACCCATGTGGCTTTGTGTATGGGTTTGTGCAGCAATATAGTGCCACCTATAACCATGTTGTTGAATGGTTGTATAGTTGCAAGTCTCTCACCATTGTGGTTCCTTTTTCATAACTAATGTCACCTCATGATGTGTTTGTACCCAATGATGCCCATTGTAACCTTAGCGTTCAGGTGTCCCATCGTATTTGTCAGGTATTTTCCTGAACATTTCTCTACGATTGACTTCAGCCTCTCATGATACTGATCTTTATCGTCTTATTTGCTATCATTGATGGGCTCATAACACTGAATATCATTCATTGCAATTCCTTTTGTTTTTAAGGATGCTTTAATAATACTGAATCTAAGATATTCCCATCTCATAAATGCTTTGTGTGCTTCTCTAGACAGTATTAATACAACTTCTTGCGTGTACAAAGCATTTTCTCTGACGAGTGTACAACAGCGATTCTCCTGAAGCTAGTCTTTTCTGTGAAGCTTGTATCTGATTGGTTCCACTGGATGCAAGTACTCACAGCTGTTTTTTGTTCCCGCAGCTATTTGACTGGTCTGGTCTCCCATATTATGCTGACATTCCATTTACTGATGTTAATTGTTGCTCTAGTTGTCAGAAATGGCATCAGCTCCCGAAGAACCTGAGCCTTCACGACGAGGCGTCATAACTCTTCTAAACGAAGACCATTCAATTCCTTGGACAGAGTTTCAATAGTTAAAGTGGTTTCTCGTGATTAGTTTCTTCTAGCGAGAATTTTTACATAAAAGAGTTCGTGACTCCATGTCTAACCCTCGTTCGTTATTCGGGTTTGAGACCGTCGGTTATTCTAGAAGGACTTCATGTAAAGTTAAAAGAATGTGTGTAGAATTTACCAAAAGTTTCTCCAGTTTTCTTATATATTTTTCAGATAATCATATTTTACTAATTCAATTTGTCGATATGGTTAAGTAAAGTTTTTTTTGTATAGTGCGACGATAAATTAAGGGATAATTTGTTTGATGTCCACAAGCTAATTTGTAAGCTTTTTAACACTGGAAGTTTTTGTTCCTATCCAGTACTAATCAACAAAACTTATGTTTACAGAATTTGGTTTTAGAAATCATCTATTCATACCGTCTGTCGCTTATGATTTTTAAATACACATATGTAACAAGTATTTTATAGTTATTGATTTTCACAACTGGACTTTTTCATTTAAAGCGATACAAACTATTTATTATTTTCATTTACTGGGTACCACGTATCAGGTGCATCCGGGCAAGGTGGGATTTTTACAGATGCTATCCTTCAACAAATGGTTAAAAATTCTGAACGACCAATTATATTTTCATTGAGCAATCCAACTTCGAAATCTGAATGCACCGCTGAAAGAGCATATAGAATTACAGAGGTAAGATTTCTATTCCTACCAAATGTGTGTATTATATTTTTATAAACATGTGAAAAAACATCGTTTTCTTGTATCTACCATAATGTCACATTTGACAGAAGTGATAGAAGTCTAGGAATTATTTTTATTCCGAGCTAGCGAATAAATTTGTAAGCTTTTAGCGTTTACTAGAAGTTGTGATGCACCTTTCAATCTCTTTCCCTTAAGTTCGAAGGTAATAGAATGCTTGCATCAACGATGATTCTCTTAGCTTACTGACCCAGTTTAGCTACATAATAAAAAGTCAAAGATTAGTCACACCACTTTCTTTTCGACTAATAAGGTACTGTTCCACGCTTTGTTATAACTTACAACTGTCTGTTGTCAAGACATGGCCCAGAATCGTCCAAGATAGTTCAGGTGTATTCATTCTTTATCTTCCACTGAATCTCGAATTCTAGTATTCTTCCACACATACCTTTCCATTCTGTCTTTTCAAACTATATTCCCACGGCCTGGTCTTTCCTTTTATCATTGCCGCTACTTTATTTAACTCCACCTGTATATCTCCTAGTGTTACTGCCAGTCCCAAGCCCGGGTAAAGGAAGAGGATTGTGCATGGAATCAGCAACCCCATCACGTCAGTCAGTCAGTCAAAACGTAGAACTTCGTATATACGTGCGTACATCAGTTCGAGTTACCATACCACACTAGCACGAAAATGCAGTTGTCGATTTAAATCCCATAGTGGTAGAGGTAGTATAAACAGTAATCCGAAGGATTAGGGTTCAAAGATGTTATTCAAGGAGTATAATCCAGTAAAATAAATTTGGAAAGAGGAAAAAGAGACATGAGGAATTCAGATTGGAATTCGGGAGAGCACAAAGGGTGGATGCACCTGCGCCATCGCAAACGATTTTGAGCCATGTCATTTAAGATTTCTAACCATCGGTTGTTCTCGTTTCGCGAATCCCAACCAGGTAGTCTACACCTACCAACATGGCTCAGTCCACTTATCAGTGACTTCATGGGTTTGTGGCACGTTTTGGTCTGGCCACCTCCAGCTTTCTTACAACCTACTACTACACCATAAAACATCGAGGCAGTCGGTGATTAGGCATACGTAACACATGTCCCAGCCATCTCAACTGATGAAGTTTCACTACTTCATCAATCGATTTGCCATTCTTACCTTGTACCCGTTTCCTAACGACTGCATTACTTACCCGGTGGTCTCAGGATATACGAGCAATGCTTCGAAGACACCTGTGATCAAATACTAGTAGCCTACGAATACCCTCTACTCTTATCGGCCATGTTTCACTGCCATAAAGTAGGACGGAACGAACTGCTGCACAGTAAACCCGTCCTTTTGTTGCTAGACGGATATCTCGCCTACGTCATAAATGACGCAGGTTGGCAACAAATAGACAAGCTTTCTGTACCCGTGCTGAGATTTCGTCACACACCAGACCATAAGGGCTGATGAGACTCCCAAGATAAGTGAAGCAGTCAACACGCCCAACTACTTCACTCCTTATTATTAGTTGGGGTGTCGATGCAATATAATCCTGAAGTAACATTTTGCATTTCGAGGGAGAGAATGGCATCCCGAACATGCCTGCATAGTTGCTTATAGTGGTCAGAAGACTGCATTTTGTCAGCGTCTTCACCAAATAAAACTATGTCGTCGGTGTATTCTAAGTCAACAAGTGAATCTCCCGGTAAAAGTTCAACTACTGGAGATTGAGATGATGAAAGTGTTGTCTCCAAAAGCATGTCTATGACAAAGTTAAACAAGAATGGGGAGAGTGGACAGCCCCTTACGAACACCACTTAAGGTAATCAATTCTGATGACAGTTCGCCATAGGCTCTAACTCGACCAGTTGTGTTCGAGTAGAGAGCCTTTATAAGGTTAATGTACTTCTTTAGTACTCCTTTCACTGACAAGCACTGCCATAGAACCTCACGATCAACGGAGTCAAATGCCGCCTTAAGGTCGAGGAATACTACGATTGTAGGACGTCTGAATATGTGTCCATGTTCTAGGACCTGACGTAGAGTCAATATCTGGTCTATGCAACCATGTCCATGTCGAAAACCAGCCTGGTTTTCTTTAGTCTGCTCTTGACGAGCTTTGGTTAGGCATCCAAGTATTATTGATGCTAATATTTTAGACACTATATTAGTCAAACTGATTCCTCTGTGATTGTCACAAGTGAAGTTTTATCCTTTCTTATAGACTGGTACAATCAGTGATTGGCACCAGTCAGATGGAATTACGTCCAGTTCCCAGATTCTACCTTAGACCTCAGTCAATCTCACTGCTAGTACTGGACCACCATCCTTAAAAATCTCAGGGGTAAACCTGTCAGGGCTTGCTGCTCTCCCTCTCTTCAGATTTCATATAGCTTTTTCAACCTCGTAGAGAGTTGGAGAACTTACATCAATTTTCCATTCAGGACGACTGGGGATCGTGGGTAACTCAAGTGTGGCTGAAGGCCAGTTGAACTGATCCCGAAAGTGTTCTGCCCATCGATCCAACCTCCTGGATTGAGAATGAATGTTATGTCCATCTTTATCTGAGATGGTTTCACTGATACTTGGGTTCCTAATACCGGTTTCTTTAACGAGTCTGAATAGCTGTCTACTGTTACCTATTGCCGCTGCCTTTTCCATCTCTCTTGCTTTCGCTACCCACCACTGTTCACGATCATTGCGTAGGCTTCTTATAAGCCTGCGCTCAAGCCAACTCCGCTCTTCGTTATGTTCAGAGCCAGATGGGATGAGTTTTCGAGCATATATCAGTGCGGTAGATGCTGCTAAAATCCATAGTTTCTCCCTAACCTTCTATCGAGCTCCTCCATCGGTGGCTGATATCGATGTGATCTAATTGGGTCCAACTTTGTGACGAATTCGGGGTTCGCCATGTCAAAAAATGTTTTTTCGGTATGCTTAAAGTTGGTAATTGCAAGAAACAGGCGGTTATCTGAGTATAGCTGCAACAGACGGTCTCCATTATCTGTTCTTTGAGCTACGACACCATAAGATCCACACAGGCGTCTTAACCTTTCGCCTAGTTTTTCTACTTGAGCATTAGGGTCACCAGCAACTTTTACTTCATCAGAGCGCCTAGTTTTTCGGAGAAGGTCGGAAAGCTTTCTGTAAAACTCATCTTTTACATCATCTGAGCTGCAGTCAGTGGGAGAGTAAGCAGAGGCGTCGAAGAGACAACGACGAGTTTCCCTATCTTTCCGAGTCCTTACTGATCCGTTTAGTCGGACGGCGCACAGACGACTGTCTCCTGGGATCCAGTCTAAGAGAGCTAGTTTTGTCCTAAGACTAAATGCTATACATACGCCAGAGAAGCCACGGAGAACAGTATCAGGGCTTCCAGACGCGCGAACCGTGAATCGAGTTGGTTCATTATTTTGGCATGGTGAGGTCAAACGAATGACGCTACTCGAATCCTGTATGCGCGTTCCGGAGACGCAGCACACATCGATAGTGAGAGATTCTAAAGTTCTAGCTAGGGTGGTCTGTTGTTTTATTTGACACAGTGTTCGGACGTTAAACGATCCTACATGAGGTGTAGTTTAGAGCGTGGTTTCAGGAGACCAGAAATAATGTTCCACGTACTTGAATCGTTTGCCCTAGCGGTGCGAGGTGATAAATAGACGAGAGAAGGGTTAGTTGTGGAGATAAGAGAGTTATTAACAGGTGTAGGAAGGATTTGAATGTGAGCAACTTGGTCTCATATGTTGTGACGGGTATGCGGGCTGATATCGCTTGCCAGCTGCCCACACCATGAATGGGTATTTCTTGAGGGATCTGAAAAGGAAGTTGGATTATTGTTGGTCTTAACGACCAGGGAGCGTGACCGCAGTGTCCAAAGGACAACTGCTTTAGACCAGTCGCGCACAGCCTTTTTGTGGGAGGTTTTTGACGTGTTAGCTCTGTTCTTCAAAGGGCCTTACCGTCGGAGACAGAAATCCATAAGGTAAGGTGAGGCGTGACATTTTTAGGAACGACCTTTTCTAACCCCTTCTTTCCTTGTGAGAAGGCAGCATCGCGGCAGATGCTGGTTGTCCGAGAGAAACACCTCATTGCTGCCACACCTCTCTACAGTCAGCAGTACGACTTCGCCTTTAGATCTTGAGTTGCTACTTCTAGTCTTACCCTTCTCCAATCGACCTGCTTGGCATGGTCGAACCTACAGAAACTTATATTCCAGCCAATGTAGCTCGGTTGGGTCATCACGATAGGCACGCCCAATACACACGCACAAGAAGTTGCACTGATGTCCAAATAAGCACGAAAAACACTTATGAGCTGGGAATCTGATTTATCCGGAATCATCAGAGCAAAGAAGGAGGGAATCACATTGAATGCTATGCATTGTTATGCACCCACCAATGATAGTAATCATGACGACGAGGATCAGTTTTACGAGAAGTGCTCAGGAAAGGTCCTGACTATCCTGATGGAAGATTTAAGCGCCAAAGTTGGAATGGGCAACACCGAATATGAAATATCATGGGAAGACATAGACACGCTGGGAGTAAGTTACTAAAATGGTAACAGATTTGCAAATCTATGTGATTCAATAAAATGGTTACAGGTGGCACTACATTCCCACACAAACACATGCTCAAAGCTATATGGGTCTCACCAGATCACACTGCACAGAATCACATCAATCATATTTGCACCACTAAAAAAATTCAGAACGTCAATGGAAGACGTGCAAACAAAGAAAAGAGCTGACATAGCTTCAGATGACAACTTGGTGGTTGCCAAGATAAAATTGAAGCTAAAGAAGTACTGTACAATTGAAGAAACAGAATTAGAAAGGTTTAATACAGCCTTCCTTCGAAATACTGTCAAACTCAACGAATTCAAGATAAGTCTCAACAACAGGTTCCAAACCTTACAAGACCTATTGAAAGGAAAAGAAACTATTATGGTAAACAACTGGCAAAGGGTCATGCAAACTCTGACTTCAATGTGTCAGGTGTTAGGGTGCAAGAAATATCATAAGGAATGGATCTCAATCGAAACTCTGGACAAGATTCAAGAAAGGAAGAACAAGAAGACAGCTGAACAAAAGCAGAAAAAGTCAAGGCACAAGCTAAATACACAGTAACAAACAAGCAAGTGGAAAACAGCATTAGAGCTGTCAATCAGAAATACGTGAAAGACCTAGCACTTAGCTGACAGATGCATTCCAAGTGGGGGCCGGTGTCAGACAAGGATGTTTACTCTTGCCCTTGCTATTCCTTCTTCTGATCGACTGGATTATGAAGACCCCTACATTTCGGAGGAAGCATGAAATACAATGAACAGCCTGGATGCAACTAGACAATTTGGGCTTCTCAGATGACCTAACTCTTCTACCCCTAACGCACGAACAAATGCAGGTCAAAACAGCCGGTACAACAGAAGCCTCTGCATCAGTAGGCCTCAACATACCTAAGGGAAGAACCAAAATCCTCAAATACAACACAGAATATCAACTCAATCATACTTAATGGAAAAGCTCTGGAAGAGGTGGAAACTTTCACATACCAGATCAGCATAATCGATGAACAAGGAAGATCTGATGAGGACGTAACGGCACGGGTTGGCGAAGTAAGTAACAGTTGTCAACCAATATCAAAGTCACAATCTTTAATTACCTAAACATTGGTAAGTGAAGATAATTTCAACCATCTGAAAGCCGAATGCTTAAACTTACTAAGTTTGTTGTTGATTAACTGCAGCCCAAAAGATAATTAACTGAAAATGTTTTCTGTAACTGATAGGCTTTGGTAGTTTATCAACATCAAATTGTTAGTTATATCCGTTTCATATTGTTAGAAAACCTATACACCCGTATGATTATTTTATCGTAAGTTTAAAGGTTGTTTGGCACTTCATTTCATTCGTAATGAAAATTTATGAAGCTGGATGCTTATTTTCCCATTATTGCTATTAGTTTAGAGGAACTCAGTAGCTTTTTGACTTAAGCTCTCCACTTCCCTCTAATAAATCCAAGAATGATAAAGTGGAGATCAAAATTTTCCTCGGAATTAAAACTCTTGATATTTATGTCTCAAGAAATTGTGTCATCGAGTTATGTTTAACCCCAAGGTAAACCGGATTTATTAATGATCGTTATAAAATCAATTTTTTTATTTCTCGTGTTGTTTAATAGTGGTGTGTGTGATCTCATTTTCGAACACCAAATCCACCTTACAATAGGCATACAAATCCCTGTAGCAGTTAGTTTCAATTTTATTGTTAACAACTTGCTTTTTTAACATTAAATATTTTTTGTGACTGGGTGACGTGTATTTAACTTGAATTTGTTTGGTTTTCAAGGGTCGATGCGTATTCGCTGGCGGTTCACCCTTCAACGATGTTCTGCTTAAAGTTTCTGGAAAAGAAGTGCATTTCCAACCCGGTCAATGTAATAATTCTTACATCTTCCCCGGTGTGGGACTTGCCATTACACTGTGTCAAATTCGTCCAGTTTTACAAGAACTTTTCGTAATCGCTGCTGAAGTAAGCTTCTTGTTTTACTGACTTGTTCTAATGACCTTGGGTGTGACTGACCGTGTCGTCACAAACGTTTTCCCTTACGCTTGTTACATTTCGTGGAGTAGTTATAAGCCGCTCACCAGCATTTTCCACTCAACTCTGTCCTGGTGTTATGACTCGTAAGTTAAACGTTTTATTCGGATCCTAGCTATTCGGATAACCTCAGGCTAGCACTACTCAGCGACTTGGAAGACCAGAGAGAAGACACGAGTATCAGAGAAGCACTTTACTACAAGGTTCAATTATGTACAGAAAAACAGGGGTTTTATAGTAGCTAAAAGACCTTGAGATCCCATAGTAACAGTATGTTAACAGCCAATCAGGACCTTGTTATTTTAGTAGCATTTTAGTAGCATAGCTTCTAACTAATCGCTGATTGGTTGGTCTCTTTATGAGCCTCTCTGGAGGCTCTGATAGAGTTTATTGTAAGCCGATCTAACACCTGGGCAGTTATTTCCAGCTGTTGTTCATCGTTTTCATGTCTGCGTCCGATTCCTAACTCAATGTCTTCTTTAGTCTTCCTCTTTTCCGTCTCCCTTCAGGATTCCAATTTAGCGCTTACTTCGTGATCTAGTTTAATTATTTCTGTAATGTATGTTCTATCCACCTCCAACAATTTTTCCTAATCTCCTCCTCAGTTGGAAGCTGGTCTGTTTTCTCTCACAGTAGGCTGTTGCTTATGGCATACGGCCAATGGATATTGAGTATCTCACGTAGACACTTGTACTTGATGATGGTTATGGTAGGTCTTCAAATGTCAGCTCCGTACAGCAGAACTGTTTTGACGTTCGTATTAGAGATTGTGACTTTGATATTGGCTGACAGCTGTTTTGAGTTTCATTTGTTCTTCAACTGCAGGAATGCTTGTATCTAATTGGTTCCACTTGATGCAAGTACTCACAGCTGTTTTTTGTTCCCGCAGCTATTTGACTGGTCTGGTCTCCCATATTATGCTGACATTCCATTTACTGATGTTAATTGTTGCTCTGGTTGCCAGAAATAGCATCAGCTTCCGAAGAACCTGAGCCTTCACGACGAGGCGTCATAACTCTTCTAAACGCCCCCAAATGCCCTGGTACGGCCGAGAGTGGGGAGAGTCCACTCTCCCTCTCCAAATGCTCTCACATGGCCAGGGAAGTCCTACTCACTGCCTTCTCGTGGCGGGGGTGTTGTTTACGAAAGTGAGAGGACGAAAAGCGAATGTCCGGCGCTTTAACCGGGTTGGTGGACACGGAGGGTCCACCTAGGGGAGTTGGAAAACCCTGATTCCAAACCAATGGTGCACATGGGCTCCAGTATCCTGATGGAACGAATGGCGAATGAACTGCTGTTGGTCACCGGCTATCATGGGACTGCATCTCCTCACGATGCTTTACTGCCTTGTGGATCAGACATTCAGGTCAAAGGCTCCGGGTGTGGCCCCCTAAGAAAACCACCTGCTTCAGTCTGGGCACCAGGGCAGTATCACAGCCCTCACACAAATCGAAAGAGATTTGTGAGGCGCATATTTATTTGGTGCTTCATTGTACCAATATTTATGTGTTTAAATAAATAAATAAAATAAGTTTTATTCTAGCGAGAATTTTTACATAAAAGAGTTCGTGTCTCCATTTCTAACCCTCGTTCGTTATCCGGGTTTGAGACTGTCAGTAGCCGTATAAGAGCTACTGACGGATTTATATGGTTATTTACTTCTGATTTTCTAATTTTGCAACATCAGTAGGTACGATGATTGTTAATTTTATTGGCTGTTAAAGTTTGAAAAATTGTCTGAAATCCTTTGTCACTCTTTTATTTACGATCTCTACATTATAAGCAAAGATGGATAGTGCCTAGCATTGAAATCCAGGACGCACGTTTCGTCTTATTTGAGGCTGTTCAGCTGGATGTACCTGCATCTCAGAGTCGGTGTTCAACTCTGAAGACGAAACGCACGTCCTGGGTTCCACTGCTAGTCACAATCCATGTTTGCTTATAATGCTTGTGAATTAAGGCAATGTGGAGGCAATGCATAGAGTATGCACATATGCCAATAATAGACTAATCAATTGCAGTCCTAAACATTATTGGAAAGATTTAAACAAACAATACCAAGTGAATTTGGATCTCTACATTTCTATTCAAATTCATACTCACAGGCGTTAGCTTTATTTTAAACATAGTAGCTATTATTTTGGCCTATTTAATTTTCCCTGTATTTTAATTGATATCATTTACCGGTCGATGCTATACAATCAGTTAAGACCAGGAAGCGGTGGTCGGCGTTTTGTCCTAGTATGGCGCTCAGCAGTGATAATTTCACGGTCCTGCATACATAACTGTATGGTCTAACATTAATCGGTTCACGATCTCGGTAAAAACTCAACATACATCACAACGCTGTACTGATAATTATCATATGCTCTCTAGTGTTTAGTCTCGAAAAGTGATTCTCGGAATTCTAATGAGAAGTCGTGATCAGTGGAGTTCAAAGTTGTCTCGTGTCAGGCGGTTACCCATCGAAGACTTTGGGAGATGGTCGCGCAATATCTTGGATTGATTGAAGTTAGACATTAAAACTGTTGGGTGCCGTTTCAGTAGTCTGGAAGTTACGCGTTCGCGCGCGGAATCGTGGATGCTCACTGTTGAGGAATCCCATGTTGGGGTGAAACAGCCATCCAGTGCTTCCGGGTTTTTCATGGTAGTCTGACATTGAGCGGTTCATGATTTCAATTTAAGCCCAACAATCTCCACAACCTCATGCTGATAACTTTCTTGTATTTGTTGGAAGTTGTATTATTCTCTGTCTTTTATTCTTGGGTCTGCATAAATAACATTGAAGATGTGTTCTAGATTCGTCGTAATGCATACATTTTCCAAGTAGCTTCAGTAGCTCGTTTGTGATGTTATGAAATTATGAAAAATACCCTGTTTTTTATGCCTATCTGCTCAAAGAACATTCAAATCGTAAAATGAAAACAGTCCGTGGCGAAAAACGAAACAGTAGAGATAACATCGATGAATTTGATTTGTTTGTTCCATTATGAGTTGAAGAAAATAATCAAGTCGAAAGTGATAATATAGAGCAGATGGACTTCATGATTAAAGGCAAAAATAATATATAACAACTTAGTGCAGTAAGGAAAAAAGAGCTTAAAATCCGGTCGTGCTTCTACTATTGTTCATTTCTTTGTTTCTAAAAATTTTAGTGTTTAGCAGGTCAAGTCGACGAAAAAGATTTGGATGTTGGTCGTGTATTCCCACCATTAAGAGATATACGCAATGTTTCGTTGGCTATAGCAGTACGTGTTGCAGAATATGCTTACTCAAAAGGTATTTGCCATTATGAACCACAACCTAAGGATATTGAATTATATTTGTCTCAAAAGATGTATGATCCAAATTATATACCAGTTATGCCTGAAGTGTACGATTGGCCACTTGGTGTCACTGATGCAGTCTCATAAAGATTGGAATTTTCAAAAACGAAATAACTTCATTTCAGTGCAGAGTATTAGGGTTTCAAACACTACATTTCTCACCTTTCTATTACCACTAAATATTCTCTAATTTTTTTGATTATAGAGTTCGTTCACTGTTTATCATTTTCTTTTCAATAGTAGCATGGCTTTATTCTAGGGTAACGTACTATCCATTAATTCGATTTTATTTTGTGATGTTTTTCTTTCCTTTTATCAAAGCAGTTTATGATTTTACTCCTGTAAGATTACTGAGGATACTACTGCAATATTACCTTTAACATTTCGGTTATAGTGTTTTAATTGTGCTTTTTTGTCTACTGTTTCCAGTTTATCTTGTCCAAGATTTTGTCTTCTTTTTATGATGTCAAATTCACTTTTGTTGAAAAACAAATTGTTGTTGTCTCTAATAATTAAGATTAGCCAGCAGTCGATAGAAGCTTAATGTTGGTCTTGATCCCTGTTATAAATCATTAACGATTTGTCTGTTGTCAGTCGTTAAGTCATGAGCAAACGCTAATGATAAGTAAAAATAGAACGAGTAAAGCTCATTTAGTTAAAATAAAATCACTATTTTAGAAGAGAGTCGAAAAAAGGCGTAGTGATGTAATCAATAGAGAGAAAGAGTTGAATAAAAATTTGTAAAGTGACAAAAAAACGTCTGTGTGATTAGGGAAACGGTTGTTGATTTGTCTAAGTATTCATTTTTAATGCGTTACTATCGTCGTCATATTGGTTCATGCACCTGTCTTAAGTGTGTAACAAAATTGATATTCATCACTTTATTTAATTTTATCCTTTTACTCAGATTTAAAAGGCTAGTCTTTCCTCATTAGTTCATTTCACTTCATCGAATAAAACGTAGGTGGTCACCCCTTAGATCCATCTAATTTGTCATTTCGTAACAACGATTCGCTTGACATAAATGTGATCATGGTGCATTAGTAAATCGTCTTTCTACAGAAACTAAAATGGGTATTTCGTTCAAAGATCTTATTTAGTCATACATATAACCTGTGAACTTTATTTGTTCTATTTTTTTAGGAAGATGGTCTTTATTGATTCGTATGTTTGAAAAAGAGGATATGCTCCCTGAACCACAGGTTTTATGGCTAAAGGTTTCACACTCACACTTTATGCTATTAATGTCTGCTAGGATATCTAAACACAGTTTTATCTCCATACAAAAATTTCATTTTGAATATCCATATAAAAAATATGCATACTCCTGTTATGAATTAAGGAAGGGTCGTATGCCAATTTGTTATAATTTTATGTCCGGCTTTTTATCATGTGATTTATCCACCAATCGAAATACGACTTTTCCAATCTTAACACTGTCAAATCAATGACATTCAACTGGTATGAGCAGTCCAGCGTCCTTATTGGTCCCTTGTCCGCCTAGCCCTTCCAATTGAGTCCAGAACATCAGTTACTGCTTCTGCTATGCGAATCATTTATTTCAAGCATACTCGGTTTATATCCAAACAGAAAGACGACACCATAAAATAGGAAATAATATTTGTACAAGATCAAGCCAAATGTGGGTGTGAATGTGGGATACAGTAATCAATATGGTTAATATAATTTAGGAATAGTAAATCGTATAATGATAATTTATAGGTCAAAATAAAGCTTATAATAACATGAATATAGATATACACAATCTAATTACTCAATAGCTAAACTATATATATATATATATATATATATATATATATATATATATATATATATAGTAATCGTCCATTAATAGGTCCTGGGAGTTACCCGTACTTATGTCTTCACTAGGATATAACAACTTCGACTATAGTTAATTTGCTTAATTGTTATTTCGAGATTATGTTGTTCACTAATAAGATGTACTCTTAAATCCTGTAAATTTAGAAGAAAAAAATTTCTTATTGGATCCGATATTTGTATTTCATTTGTTTGCATCGTATAGCATATATATTTTTTGGGAAGAAAATGTAAGCGTTCATTAGGATAACACGTTTAATAAGCTTTACATCGGAATATTTAAGTGTTATCTCTTTACTAAGAAGATTTCCCCAAGTAGTGTTGAGCAGTAGGTGACAACATGTAAACTATTGAAAAATCCTTCGTTTTATATGGTGCCACTCAAAATCTATGAATTGTAATTGAGTAAACGAAACAAAAGAATTTTTGTCGAAAAAGAACTTGTTGGGTTTTGCCCAAGCGTTTGTATGTAAATTTATGGTATGGATAGGTACCACGCTGACAATAATCGACAAAGCTGATTGTATAAGACAACAAATAAGTAAATGCAGTTCCAAACTGAAAAATCAATTTTGAAATGCACTAAGAAAACTAGTTGTATAATTCGTCAGCCTCCCAAACTAAACAAGTCTAACCAATCAGTTTTTAAATTCAAAGGACATGCTACATTTATATGTGAAATAAGACAAATTTTAAAAGGCTGATTTAAAGTTACAGCCTTCAGATAGGTTTGTTCTCTGATGATGGGATAAAAAATCAGGAAGTTATTGAAATACCCTAAGGTTCTGTTCAATTTTTAATCTGAAGAAGTCAACTTATTCAGTAGGAGCTTCATACTTATAATTCATCCGAGAACTTCCATTTTTATTATTATCCATTATTTCATAAAATATCCGGATATACGTTATAACGTTTGAAGTTTGCGTTATGCTGACACGGTATTTATTACAAAGTGCTTATATATCGTTAAACCCTAGTTTATAAATCAATAATAACATCCAATTAACCCTTGAAGAAAAATGGTTCGACTGACACAAAAACGAGCTCGAAAAAGTCCTATTTCTTCAGATATTAACAACTCTGGTCTTACCTATACCCCATGCTCTGCAACTCCTGTTGCACCAGATAATAGTGGGAGTGGACTTATTCCACACATGTTGCTGGATGACTCTATGTCTAACTTAATAATGAGTTCTCACGAACAGATGGTATCGATCTTATTAAGAGCGAATTAGCCGCTGTCTATAAGCAATTAAGTGATATGCGTTCTAAAGTGGAGTCACTTGCGGGCTCTTTGTTAAAGCATGATGATCTTAAACTAGAACTAAAGACACTGTCACCCCTTCGACTGCTGTTGTCAAAGTATATAGTTACTTCTGAACTCGAAGACAGGATCAAAGTAGAATCAGTTATTGACTTGATAGCTAGTGAAGTCACCAAGCGAATAATCTCTCGAAATAATGTGATTATATATAATATACCGGACAAAGTTGCCATTAAAACTAAGAAACTCGATACTAAAGGCAGCTAATCTCCAGGACAGTCCATGCCAATGTATCCGACTTAACAAAAAGCATCAAAAATACTCGTGCCCTATCCTGTTTAGATTCGATTCCCATTTATTAGCGGAACGTTTGAAAGAATCTGAACAGCTAGTCTGTGTGCATACGAAGTTTAAAAACGCTCGTATAGTCTCAGACAAAACCACCAAGCAAAGACTAACACAAAAGCGTACCATGAACGAAAATAACATTGTTGAGGTCACAACAAATGTGATCGCGCCAGCAGCTGAACCCACTGGTTCAGCTAATCTATCTCATGTTAGTCAGTGTACTGATATACCAATGCAGTGTGCTAGTTTGCCTCTCATACCCCTAGTGGTCCTAGATAACCAGGATGGAGACACTAATGTCATTATTTCCAGTGTAATATCGGAAGCCCACAATCAAACACCTGATTCTGTTGTGAAGGCTCATAAAAACACTGCTAAACCTAAAAAGAATATACCAATTAAGAAGAAAGTAAATAAAAAGCCTTCTGGTTCTAGACCAAATACCAAAAATATTTCAACAAAAGTATAATTTCTGAAACCATGCTTAACCCTACTCATCGTAAGGGAGGTTATAAGGACACATTCCGTTCAAACGTTACACGAGACGGCGACTACAACCATCATGTTAGCAGGCCTACTATTAGACAGACGGCAATGAACCAACGTGCCGCATGGTTTCCCCCAAATGTTATAAATAATAAACCTGCAAGATGTAACTCTTATCATCACTCTCGCAGTGGGGAAGATGGTATACTAGGTTATGCACCATCAACGCAACTCCAACATGCAGGCACCTGTCTTAATTGTCCACCAAAACAAGTACAACAAATTATTCAACCTTACCAAAATAAGAATTTTTTTTCGGCCTCCAGAGATCCCTTGTTCCACTACCACTACAATTCGCTCATGCCCATGAGATCCGGCAAACACATTAAACCATAGTCCAGGCATAGCTAGAACTCATACCATCGATAAGGATGCTCTCGGTTTTTTACAATACACACTCCGTTTTTAAACTTATTAACGCACGTTCACTTCTGAACAAAATTTCAGCCTTGAGAACCTTAGCCTTTCTAGCCAATCCTTCTTTTATTCTTATCACTGAAACATGGTGTTATCCAGCAGTGGCCGATTCCGAATTAAATATCCAAAACTATCGACTCTATCGCTGTGACAGAGAAACTAAGCTAGGAGGCGGTTGTCTTATATTTGCTTTGGATACCTTAACAACTAACAAAGTTGAAGATAGTATATTGAATAGTTTACCAGAATCGATCTGGATATCAATCAACACCCTGAATCATAGTCTACTCCTAGGTTGTATATATAGAGCTCCTGATAGTACTGATAATTTGAATGATCTTATTATCAATGCATTTATACACGCATCTACTCTAAACTTCAGTGCTAAGATTATCACTGGCGATTTCAATCATCCTGGGATTAACTGGAGTACCGGTAGTTGTCAGTCTAGCAATGATGAATTTTTATCAATCCTTAATCTGTACTGCTGGTCACAGTGGGTTCCTACCCCGACAAGGGGTGATAATACACTTGATCTAATATTTAGTAGAGATATCATTCCCCTATCTGTACAAGTATACAACGAGTTTGAAAGCAGTGATCATAAGATAGTAGCTTGTGCTCTCCCCATCTATCCCTCCTACAACCGACCAATTCAAAGAACCTGCAATTATAGAGACTATAAGCATGCAGACTGGGACCTGTTGCTCTCACTGATCAAACCCTCAGACTGGGACGAATTCTTCTCATGTAATAGTCTGACAGATGTCATCAGCATATTCTATTTGATTGTTAATTCTTGTCTAGACTCCTGTGCATCAATTAAGACTTACAGAATTAGTAAACATTACGAATTATATATACCAGCTAAATATCGTAATAAACTAAGACGCCTAAAGAAACATTATTTTAAATCTAACAACTTCACAGCATTCACACAAATAACAAAAATTTTTAACCAAATTAAAGAGAAACATAGGTTAAAAGCCATCAATGAAGAGCTATTAGCACTAAGTACTAGCTCAAAAGTGCAAAACCTAATCCACCTTTACAATAAACGTACTAAATCAACTCAAAATGTTGATATACCATGCATCCTGCATAATAATAGTTTTATATATGACCCAAAAACTATAGCAGACCTTTTC